GTTAGTGCTCTAACTCCGCTCTTCTCTGGCTTCTTCAGGTCACTCGTTTGTTGCCCTCCTCTCTTGGGCAGAAGTAGCCTGTCCTTGCTTTGCTGTTGAGCCTTTTAAGCTGTGTCTTTTCCTGATCGTGCGTCTGCACTAAATGTTGTTAGCTGCCCAGTGCACCTGGGAGATCCTTTAACAAGAGTTCCCCTAACAAGCACCCCAGAGGGTTGATAAATATCAACCTTATATTGGGTTATAAGGGCGATCGCTGTCTACAACTTACCAGTCTCTACAGCTCCCTGAAAGGAGGGTGTAGCCAGGTGGGGGTCGGTCTCTTCTCCCAAGTAACAAGTGATAGGGCAATAAGAAATGGCCTCAAGTTGTCCCAGGGGAGGTTTGGGATGGATATTAGGAAAAAATTCTTCACCAAGAGTGTTATCAAGCATTGGAACAGGCTGCCCAGGGCAGTGGTGGAGTCGCCATCCCTGGAGGTATTCAGAAGCCAGATAGACGTGGTGCTGAGGGACGTGGTTTAGGGGTGGTTTTGGCAGTGTTAGGTTAATGATTGGACTTGATGATCTTCAAGGTCCCTTCCAACCTAGACAATTTTGTGATTCTGTATCAGATGTCCAGATCTTTGCTGACAGAAGAGGGCTTTGCCAGTTCCCTACATCCCTAGCACTGTCCCTTCTGTTTTGCAGGAACAGAGGAGGTCGTCTTTGGGAAGGTTGGAGGAAGCATCCTCCTTTTATGCCGAAATGTCTCCAAAGAAGCAACTGAGGTGGTCTGGTTTCAAGGGGATCCACACTCTGTCCCTCCACTCTTCTCCTCAAAAGTCGCCTTTCCCCCGGACGTCCGTTTCTCCCTGGTGGACAACAGCTCCCTGCGCATCACAGAGCTGCGTGTGCAGGACGAAGGCAACTACACTTGCAAGGAAGTGCTGAACAAGACGGACCATGAGCACAGGGTCCAGCTCCTGGTAGCCAGTAAGTCTGTCCCATGTCTGTGAATTTCCTCCCCTGAGTCTCGCAGGTCACCATAGTCACTGGTGGAAAAATAGCGTGAAAAAGCGCAAGGTGGCTTTATCGTGCAAAGTCTGAGCAGGGTGATACTACTCAGTTACATGTTCGCTCACAAGCACCAAGACACGTCTAAATGGTCCATCCGGGATCAGTTTTGTGCACTGCACAGGACAAAATGCCAGCTGTTAAGTCCTCACTATGTCTCTTCAGTTCCTTCTTCACTGGTGATGATAATCTGGGGTTTGGATAGATCTTTCATATCCTGTGGCTGTTCCAGGGTGGCCCTTTGCCTCAGAATCTGGCTGACTTGAGCCTTCCTAAATCTTTGGGTGGAGGCTGCTGCTCACCATCCTTTTTTCCCTTGGTTGAAATACAGTTTGAAATAGATGCGCTGTACCGTTCCTCGTTGCCATCCTTTTGGTGTGAGGATGGAGCATCCTCAGCTGACAAGTTGTCTGTGCTGAGTCTTACAGCACGGCCTTCTGATTTTGACGGAAACACCTCAAATTTTCTGCTGGGGGCACTGTCATGGGAGCGTACCTGTTATGAGCACAGGCCCTTCTTTCAGCCTTTTTTTTTCCTGCTGTGTCTTTTGGTGCTTATTCCCATTTCCATCCCTATTCCATTCATTCAGTCTCTTAGAAATCTTGACAGCACGGCGGGGGGATCAGGCTGGAGAGCCTTCAAGTCAATT